GCATCTGTTGTGTTTTGACTTTTTTTTTTTTTTTTGAGATGGAGTCTCGCTCTATCACCCAGGCTGGAGTGCAGTGGCACGATCTTGGCTCACTGCAAGCTCCATCTCCTGGATTCACGCCATTCTCCTGCCTCAGCCTCTCGAGTGGCTGGGACTACAGGCACCTGCCACCATGCCCGGCTAATATTTTTGTATTTTTAGTAGAGACGAGGTTTCACTGTGTTAGCCAGAATGGTCTCAATCTCCTGACCTCGTGGTCCGCCCGCCTCGGCCTCCCAAAGTGCTGGGATTACAGGTGTGAGCCACCATGGCCAGCCCTTGACTTTTTAATAATAGCTGTTTTGATTGGTGGGAGATGGTGTCTCATTATAGTTTGATTTGCATTTCTCTGATGATGAGTGAAATGATGAGTAGTTTTTCATATGTTTGTTGGCCCACTCGTATGTCTTCTTTTGAGAAATGTCTGTTCATGTCCTTTGCCCATTTTATTTATTTATTTATTTATTTTGGAGACAGAGTCTCGCTCTGTCGCCCAGGTTGGAGTGCAGTGGCCGGATCTCAGCTCACTGCAAGCTCCACCTCCCGGGTTTACGCCATTCCCCTGCCTCAGCCTCCCGAGTAGCTGGGACTACAGGCGCCCGCCACCTCGCCCGGCTAGTTTTTTGTATTTTTTAGTCCAGATGATCAGGTTGCACCGTTGGTAGGCGTCAGGATATGTCTCTAATCTCCTGACCTTGTGATGCTGCCCGGTTCTCGCGTCCAGTTTTTTGTTAGTGGCTGGTGCATTGATCAATGTGGCTTGAGCCACCGCGCCCGGCCTTGTGTTGTCCTTCATTTTTAATGGAGTTGTTTATTTGTTTGTTTGCTCTCGTTTTGTTGATGTGTGTATGTGTTTTATATGTCACTTATAGATTCTGATTAATGTGTAATGTTCTGGTCATGTATTGCTATGTTGTTGTTTGCCTCTATTATATTTTGTTCTGTCTGTCTGCCTGATGGTTTTCTCTTTACTCGTATTGACCATTTCTGTTTGCTATATGGCTTTAATGTGTTGGTAGTTGTTTTAATTATGTGTTTCGCTCCCCAGTGTTGTTGTGGTTTGTTTATCTCTCTTTGCTTTGTGTTTGTGTGTTGTCAAAAATCGCTCATATCGGGTGATCAAATTAGGGTAGTTTGCTAAGTGTGCTGCTAGGAGTTGTAGTAGGTTGGAGTCTGTACATTTTGAAAATATTTAATCATGTCGTTGAGTTATTTGTTTGTTGTCGTGTTGGTTAATTTGTATTGTGTGGGTATAATGATATATGGTCTAGTCTTGTGTGTCTGCATTATGTGCTAGATCAGTAGTCCAGCTATCATGGTTTGATAATAGGATTATTTTGTTCTCTGGGTGCTGTTTGTCAACCATGGGCCAATTCTTGTTTATCTGTATCCGTGGCCTTCAGGCGTCCTACCTGCACTGCCACCTTGGAGTTATGTGAAGCAAAAACCCGATGTTACATGTGTAGTTGGTATGTTGTTTTAACCTGTTTTTTAGTGATAATTTGTTGTGTGTGTGGTTGTTGTTTGTTTTTTTTTTTTTGTTGATTGGACGTATCCTATCCTGTATCTCCAAGGCTGGTGCAGTGGGATCTCAGCTCACGCACCCTCTGCCTCCCAGGTTCAAGCGTATTCTCCGCTCTCAGCGCCCTCGAGTAGCGGGACTACAGCATGTGCACCACGCCAGCTAATTTTGGATTTTTAGAGAGACGAGGCTTGTCACCAGGGCCAGGAGTGGCCTTGATCTCTGACGTGGGATGGCTTGCGCCAATGTAGCCTCCCAAAGTGCTGGGATTACATGCTTGAGCCACCACGCCCAGCCAGATACTGTATGTTTTAAGAGTGTTGTCTTTGCTACATACAGCACTTAACCTGTAGTCAAATTTAGTCCCATCAGTTTTTTATAACTAATGGCTCATTAGTTTAGTGAGAAACCTCTCCAACATTTTTTTCTTCTGTGTAAGTGTATAAGTGTAAATACACATATAGTTATGTGAGTTTGTTATTTGTTCTTATTAAAAAGGGAGAGTAGGCTGGGCATGGTGGCTCACACCTGTAATCTTAGCATTTTAGGAGGCCAAAGTGTGAGGATCACTTGAGCCCAGGAATTCAAGAACAGCCTAGGCAACATGGCAAAACCTCATCTCTACCACAAAAAGAAAAAAAAGAAAAAGAAAAAACTTGCCCAGGCGTGGTGATGGGCACAGTAGTCCCATCTTCTTGGGAGGCTAAGGTGGGAGGATCACTTGAGTCTGGGAAGTGGAGGTTGCAGTGAGCCAAGATTGCACCACTGTACTCCAGCCTGGGTGACAGAGCCATCTCAAAAAGTTGGGGGTGGGTAGTACAAAACTGCCTTGTTCACTTATAAATAAATTATAGAAGTCTTTCTTTGACAAACAGAGATCTACTTTACTCTTTTTAACAACTGTAGTGATTTACATCAGGCATGTGTCATAATTCTTTTTTTTTGAGACAGAGTTTCGCTCTTGTTGCCCGGGCTGGAGTGCAATGACGCGATCTCGGCTCGCTGCAGCCTTCACCTCCCGGGTTCAAGTGATTCTCCTGCCCCAGCCTCTAGAGTAGCTGGGATTACAGTCACGCACCACCATGCCCGGCTAATTTTTGTACTTTTAGTGAAGACAGAGTTTCACCCTGTTGGTCAGGCTGGTCTCAAACTCCTGACCCCAGGTGATCCACCTGCCTCAGCTTCCCAAATTGCTGGGATTACAGGCGTGAGCTACCGAGCCCGGCCTATGTCATAATTTTTTAAACTAATCCCCTTTAATAAATGCGTTGGTTTCTTTTTGTGTTTTCTGTTGCAAACAGGGCTATATAAACAACATTGTATATCATCTTTGTATGCTTATGGATTTCTATAGGATGGGTTTAGAAAAGGAATTGCAGGACCAGGCATCTTTTGAGGGAAAAAAATGATCCTTTAAGAATGGCTCTACCATGTTGTTCCACACTTGTAGCTTACTCTAATCTGTGCTCAAATGCTGATGAATGTGCTAGGCGAGCAGTTGTTTCCACTTAATGCTTGAGGAAAATTGGGAACAGTATATTGTTCTGAAAACCTAAAAAGTTTAAGTGATGTGTTAGAATATGGGACAATGAGAGTCTTTATGTGTAATTGACATCTCTAAGACCTCTCAGAAGTGAGAGAACCAATGAGAGAGACTGTTGCCAGGCTACAAACTCCAGCAGAAGGCAGAAGAGATGGGTGGACAGGCGAGGGTGTTGGGCTATCTGTAAAGGACAATATAATAACAGTAATAATCCTTTACATTTGTACAGCAGATTAGAGTTTACACTAGGCTTTTACATCCGTTTTCTAATTTAAGCTGCACAATAACTCTATACAAAAATCTGAGCAGCCAAAAATATACCATAGAATTTCTGTGGGTGGACATTCTGGATTCTCAAGTAACAAAAATGTGGGAATAGTGTTAGCCTATACTGGACAAGACCCACTGACTGAATCAAAATGCTTAAAATGTTAGGTAAGACCAAGGAAGGTGCAGAAGTGGAGTAGATGTCCTCACCAGGCTGAAGTAGTAGACAGTTTTCATTAGCCACATGCTGATTAGTCCCCAAGAATGTGGAATGGATTAGTGCCAAGCTGGCTATGTGAGAGCCGCCTGGAGAACTTGTAAACATGCAGATTCCCTGATGTTACCCCCAGAGATTCTGATTCAGTGGGTTTGAGGTCAGTTCTAGAAATTAGGCATTTTCACAAGCTCTCCTAGTGATGCTGATATGCAACCAAGTTTGCAAACCACTATTCTTGAAGTTTCTGAGAACTGCAGCTAGAGATTTTTACACTATGGGTCTATAGTCAAATGAGACAGCATGCAAGTCAGTGGACCTGGGTTGAGAAAAAGAAGACTAACCAATCTAGTTGAGTACTCAAGTGAATAAGTGCTTTGACAAAGAAGGAACTTCCTATGAATGTAATTTCTAAAGACTTGAAATATACATATCTACATTTACAAAGTCCCAAACCAAAGGGTGTTTTAAAATATTGTGAATTGTCACTGAGGCATGCGTAGGTGTGGACAGAGTCCTGGCCTAGAGAGACTGCTTTTTTTAGAGTGGACCAAACTCTGAACTTAAAGCCAGAGGACCCTGAGTAGGGGTCGGTCCATCTTCACTGTGTCCCAGTGTATAACCTGAGATGTATGACCTCATCTTTCTGAGCCTCATTTTCCTCCCTCTGAAAAATGACCATGATATTCTCATTTCCCTGTGTCTGCTATTCCCATCTATCCTTCTCTTGTAGCCTCTCAGTCTGAGCTAGCACCAGCCTCTGATTGAATTCCTTCTCCTTTCTCAATCTTTTTTTTTTATATTCCCAGATTGCTCACAGAAGCCAAGAATGTCAGCTTTTGTGTAAGTGCATATGTTTGCAGGAGTAATTGTGATATATTTGGGAGACATACATAGGTGTATAAAATATGCATATGCACATGAGCTTCCTGCTTACTGTTCCCACCAGGAAAGTTCTGAACCTTTCGTTGTTTATTTCCTATCATCTCCTTTTCTTCCCTGGAAAATGGATTTATGAACTAGCCTTGAAACCAAGCCCTTAAAGTAACCCACAAAAATGTCCACCAGCCTGTTCACATTCACACATGTACTTTCATGCCACAGCATTTTTACTTTTCTCTAATGTTCTTGTTGCCTTTGCCTTAACTCTACAATCACATTGACTGTAATATTGCTGTTTTCCCTGGAAGCTGAAATGTTGTAAAGTGCAAAGTAGAGAAAAATGGAAATAGGGAATTGGTACCCAGCTGTCGTGGAGATTGAGATTTCAGACTTTTCTCTACATCCGTAACTAAGTGGATATTTAACCAGATGAAGACAAAAATGAACTCAGGGATTTTCCCTACTGAATGTCTGTAAATGCACTATGTTAAAAATGAAAACTAATAATCACCCCCTTTTCCATTCCTTTGTAGTGAAAACATTGTTCAATCCAGCCCCTGCCATTGCTGACCTGGATCCCCGGTTCTACACCGTCTCAGATGTGTTCTGCTGCAATGAAAGTGAGGTAAGGGTGAATTGCTTTGCTCGTTCTGTGAGAAACCAAAAGTCCGTGCAAGTGGGTAAAGCAAAGGGGCGGAACTAACCACATCAATTTGGTGACGTGAATTCTCAGGCATGGTGAAAACGGATTTTTTCAGTTTACTGGGGTGTGGAGAAAAGGAAATTAGTAAATCCTAGGGGGAAAAAAAGGATTCTCTGAGTCACTTCCATATTCTGGCACTTATCAAACCTCAGTTAATTTTAGTCCGTTCCTTGCCCTCACGCTACTGGTGTTTTGTTTTCTAATTATTTCATATTCTGAGGACTATATTAAAGTTGCCAGGTTTAGCAAGTAAAAATGCAGGATGTCCAGTTAAATTTGAATTTCAGATGGATAATAAATAACATACCTAACAAGTTTATACTGTAAAATTACCTGTAATTTATCTTAAATTCAAATTTAACTGAGCTTCCTGTATTTTATCTGGCAACCCTAATTAGTGTACAACTCCTGGAGGATCTGCTACATCCAGTAGCAAAGACCCTGTGTCATGATGTATCATCTGAACAGACTATCTATCAACTGGTACAGTAAGAAAGGATATTGTACCACCCTTTCTTAAATATTGTTAGGAAGAAAATTTCAATATTTCTCCTTTTTTATACGCCAGACAGCATTAGAACAGAGCTCTTGCCTGTCAGTGGGATGCAGGTGTACACATTGGTGAATGCAACATGGAGAGAAAGAAATTAATGAACCATAATAGTTAAATTTCCACTTTTTGTTTTTGAGACAGGAACTCACTGTGTCACCCAGGTTGGAATGCGGTGGTGTCATCATGGCTCACTGCAGCCTCTACCTCCCAGGTTTAAGCAGTCCACCCGCCTCAACCTCCCAAGTTGCTGGGACCATCATGCTTGGCTAATTTTTTAATTTTGTGTAGAGATATGATTTCGCCATGTTGCCTAGACTAATCTCAAACTCCTGGGCTAAATCATTCCTCCTGCCTCAGCCTCCCAAAGTACTGGGATTACAAGCATGAGCCACTGCACCCAGCCTAATTTTCCATTTGGTTTAAAGGCTGAATGAAGGCTTTTAGGATTTCTTGACCTGCTTTCTTGATAATTTCATCTCTCAAAACATAGAGGAAACAAGAAAGAAGACTGCTACAAGGAAACTAATTTTAACAAACCACAATAGGTTATGCAATATTTTTGAGCAACCACCATGCTAGGAAGAAGGAATTGTGGGAAATAGTGACCATTTCACAATAAGAGGTTAGAGTACCCTCAACTGCCAAACTGGCCTAAATTTTCCTGCTAGATACTTGAAGAGCACTCTATTTATTACTCAAATGCTCATTACACCTCAAATTACTTATTCATTTCTTCTGTCTTCTCCATTAAATTACAAGTTCTATGAGGTCAGAGACATCTGTCTTATTCACTGTTGTATCCCTGATGGCTATCCCTGTGTATATAGTTATCTATTACTGCATAATAAACTACTTCCAAAATGTACTGGCTTACAACAGCAATAATTATTTATTGTCACTCCCAGTTTTTGTGTGTCAGGACTTCACACAGGGGATAGCATGATTTGACTCTCCTGCACAATGCCCCAGGCTTCAGTTGGAAGACACAAAGCCTGAAAGCTGGAAGTTTTCTTCACTCACATGCTTGACAGTTGATGCTGGCTTTCGGCTGGGGGCATAATGAGGTTGTTGGCCGGAACACGTAAACATGGCCTCTATGTGTGACTTGGGCTTCCTCATAATATGGTAGCTGGGTTTCAAGATCCAGCTTCCCGAGAGAAGGAGACACCTGACAGAAGCCATATTGGCTTTTGTGAGTTAGCTTCGGAAGTAACACGGCATCACTTCTGACTCATTCTATTGATTTAAGCAGGAAGGTCCACCCTAGTACCCCACCCCTTACTAGAAGATTGTCATTGGCACAGTGTAAAACCAGGATTTGTGATATGATATAGGTTAATACAGTTATCTTTGGAAAATAACATCTGCTACACTGTACCTGCACATAGCTGGCACTTAGTAAATGCTTATGAAATAAATAAATGAAAGAACTCTGGTGTTTAAGGAAATTGGTCTCAGAAACTTAATAGAAGAAAGAAAAACATTAAAAGCTTAATGTTCTGGGGCCAGGCGCAATAACTCACGCCTGTAATCCCAGCACTTTGGGAGGCCGAGGTGGGCAGATCATGAGGTCAAGAGCTCAAGACCAGCCTGGCCAACATGGTGAAACCCCGTCTCTACTAAAAATACAAAAATTAGCTGGGCATGGTGGCACATGCCTGTAATCCCAGTTACTGAGGAGGCTGAGGCAGGAGAATTGCTTGAACCACAACCTAGGAGGCCAAGATTGCAAGAGCCAAGATCGCGCCACTCCACTTTAGTCTGGGCTACAGAGAGACTCTGTCTCAAAACAAAAAAAGTGTAATGTTCTTATTGATGAACTCTAATCACAGCAATAATGTAAATTCATGCTTATGATACTCTGCTCCAAACACAAACCATTGATATGTAAATATTAATGGAGACAATGAAAAGATACTCACAAGCTCTAAAACAAGATAAATAACTCCACAGATCAGAAATGGAACAGCCTCACAGAGCATTCAGCCCTTGATATGCTGGCTGTACACCAACCCCAGAAACAGGCAGAGGTGGTAGGAAGTTCACCCACTGTGGGTCATGGGCACTAAAAGTGCCACTTATAGGTGGCTGGAGCCGAGCCCACGGATGGAAACCATACATGCTAGACTGTGGCTCCCCACTAACAGTAAAAGGTGGAGGAACCTGCTACCCCTGCTGCCTGAAGCATATTTAAGGCTCCCAACCTGAGGAGCTAGCAGGACAGAGACACAGCCTCTGACCAAGAAGTAAACCAAGCCAACCACTGACTTAGTGACTGGACTGGCAGTAGCTCCAGAAACAGCAGAGCAAGAACTCCCTATTGCCAATATAATACCTGGTTCTGGTTTAGAGACTCTTGTGTGCCTGGCGGAAGCTACTATAAAACCACTGAGGGCCAGGCACGGTGGCTCACGCCTGTAATCCCAGCACTTTGGGAGGCTGAGGCGGGTGGGTCACAAGGTCAGGAGATCGAGACCATCCTGGCCAACATGGTGAAACCTCATCTCTACTAAAGGTACAAAAATTAGCCGGGTGTGATGGCATGCGCCTATAGTCCCAGCTACTCAGGAGGCTGAAGCAGGAGAATCGCATGAACCCGGGAGGCAGAGGTTGTAGTGAGCTGAGATCTCCCCACTGCACTTCAGCCTGGATGACAGAGCAAGACTCTTGTCTCAAAACAAAAACAAAACAAAACCAAAAAAAAAAACACTGAAAAGCAGGCATCAACCAGGTAGGAGCTGAGGTGTGACAGCTTTCCAACTCACAGTGAACAAAGTGAGCCTGCAAATGAAAAACATAATGCTATGAAGTTCACGCAGCACAATCAACAACCTACAGATGAATTTGCCCAAGATGAAATTCATATAATAAAACTCAGCCAGGCGCCATGGCTCATACCTGTAATCCCAGTGCTTTGGGAGGCCAAGGCAGTTGAATCACATGAACCCAGGAGTTTGAGACCAGCCTGGGGAACATAATGAGACCTCATCCTGTCTCTACAAAAATAAAAGATGAGCTGTGTGTGGTGGGGCATGCCTAGAGTCCCAGTATGTGGGAGGCTGAGGCAAAAGGATTGCTTGAGCTCAAGAGTTTGAGGCTGGAGTGAGCTGTGATCATGCCACAGCACTCCAGCTGGAGTAATAGAGCAAGATACTGTCTCTAAATAAATAAACAAGGCAAAAAATACTTTAAAATAGTGTAATTAAGATTAACATTCATTATGAAAGAAGAAAAAATTTTGTGAAAGAAACACAGAATTGAAGCAACTACATGTGAATATGAAAAACAACCCATTAGAAGTCGTGAAAACCTAAATAGTCATGGAAATGTTTTTAAATCACTCGGTAGAAAAATAAGCATTAGAATGGAATAAAAAATTAGTACATTGAAAGAGAAATTGGGAGAAAAATATGGATCTTGTTGAGCTCCCTCATTTTACAGATCGTAATTGATGTGGGGAAGGTCACAGACTGAGTGAGTAGGAGAGGTCTCCTGAATGCCAGGGCATTGCTTTTTCTGCTACCTGTCAGTACCTCTCCTAATCTGCTTCCATCTTCTCTGGCAAAAACAAAAGAAATGAGTAGTCTGCAAACATGGAAAGCAAAAACTGGAAATTTGAGAAGAGGGGTTATGGCCCAGGAGAGGCTTGGAAGAATTATGTCCTTAGGTGCCAAACTTACAGGTGCAATTTATACCAAAATCATTGGCAGTGGCCCTTTCCTTTCTCCTTTCCTGCCTCTCCTCCAACCCTCCTTTTTTTTTTTTTTTTTTGATAGAATTCCCTTTGTTGCCCCTAACTCTTTGTTAAAATTATTATATGTGCAGAAAAGCTGAATGAACAACTACCTTTCACCTAAACATTTGTTAACATTTTGCTATATTTGCTTTTCCTCTTCCCTGTGTATACTTAGTTTTGTTTTTATTGAAACGTAAGTGAAAAAAAAGTATTTTATTGTTGAGAATAAGTTGCAGACAACATGATACCTCACCCCAAATACTTTGGCATACATCTCCTAAGAGGAACCACAGTACCATTATCACATCTAAGAAGATTGTCAGTAATTCCATACTATCATCTAATATCCAAGCCACATTCAAATTTCCCCAGTCGTCCCAAGAATGTCTTTTATAGATTGTTTTTGTCATCACTGTTATTGCTTGAAATGTCTTTTATAGGTTGTTTTTGTCATCACTGTTACTGCTTTATTTTCCTGCACCAGTATCCATCAAGGTTCCCATTGCATTGGTTATTACAAAAAAGAAGAGAGACATTTTCTAGAAAAACAAATCTGGAAGTGGATCCGGGTTACTTATTTTCACCACTGTTTCTGTTGACTTTTGTGTATTCCAGGCTGAGATTTTAACTGGCCTCACAGTGAACAGCGCTGCAGATGCTGGGGAGGCTGCGTTAGTGCTCTTGAGAAGGGGCTGCCAGGTGGTAATCATTACCTTAGGGGCTGAGGGATGTGTGGTGCTGTCGCAGACAGAACCTGAACCAAAGCACATTCCCACAGAGAAAGTCAAGGCTGTGGATACCACGGTAAGTTTTAAAATTTAAGAATCATGTTTAGCCCTTGAAAATTGTTACTTAGTAGCTAATTAGATGCCGCACCTGAATTTTTGGATAATGAAATAAAGGCTTAGTAAGTGATATGGTGAAAGAGAAGAACAACCAGGCAGGGGAACTGTGTTTTAATCCCCCTTTAACTCTCTGTGGGACTTCATGCAAGCAACTTGACCTCTCTGAGATGTTGTTTCCTCATTCATAAAGTCAGAATAGCAGTAAAATTATACCTGTATTACCTATATTCGTTCATTTATCCAGTCATTCATTCAACAAATAGGGATTTGTGGAATACCTATTATGTCCCAGATATATGATAGTTGCTGGGGATATAGCAATAAATAAGGCAAAGTCTCTGCCCTTGTAGGGCTTAGATTCTAGACAGTGAACAAGTAGCTGTGTCTTACAAGCTTCTCATGTGAAATGAACAGCAAGGAGCACTGGTTAAGCAGAGATCATTCTTTTAACCAACAAATTCTGGCAGCTAACATTTACTGCATGCTTGCCGCATCTCTTTTGCATACATCTCATTTAATCTTTAAACAATTCTGTGGGACAGGTATTGTTTCCATTTTGCAGATGAAGAAACTTATACAGGATCACATTGCTGGTAGGTAACAGAGCTGGAGATTCGAAACTAGGCATATGGACTCCACACAGACATGTTTTGTGTAAGGTACTGTGCTAAGGACCAGTGTGCTAGGTGAACAAGCCATGGCTACAGAGTAGGAATAAAAAGGAAACAAGTTAGAAAAAAGACTCATGGTTCCCCTAAAGCTAGGGAAACATAAATTGTTTGTTTATTGTTAGAATTCAGAAGAGCTTGCCGGGCGCCACTTCATGCCTGTAATCCCAGCACTTTGGGAGGCTGAGGTGGGCGGATCACGAGGTCAGGAGATTGAGAACATCCTGGCCAACATGGTGAAACCCCGTCTTTACTAAAAATACAAAACTTAGCTGGGCATGGTGGTGCACACCTGTAGTCCCAGCTACTTGGGAAGCTGAGGCAGGAGAATCACTTGAACCCAGGAGGCGGAGGTTGCAGTGAGCCGAGATTGCACCGCTGCACTCTAGCCTGGTGACAGAGCAAGACTCCGTCTCAAAAAAAAAAAAAATCAATTCAGGAGAGCGGACTAGAAAAGTAAGTAAACTAGACTTGAGGAAGAATAAACATTTTAGGGTTTTTATTTAGAAGAAACTGATAGATAATTATTCATAAAATATATTTTGGTTTGTTTTTATGCTTAAAAGTGACTTCAAAATGTGGGTCATTATGTAAAAAGAAGGCTGAGGGGATCTGATGAAGTTTTGGATGTGAATATACTTTGAAAAATATTCAAGTGCAAGAAATGGTTATGTGACATGAAATTAACATCCTGGTTGCCTTTCAAAATGTGCTTTACCAGGTATTTGATAAAGTGTGCTTGGTGTTGCTATTGTCTTCATATTTAGTCATTTCTGAAACTATTAGTTTATTTTCTGTTTGTCAAGGACAAGAACCTGTATTTGAGGGGATCCTTAGTTCTGAAATCGATCCTCCATTAGACTAACACTACTTTAAGTCCTGACCTAAAGTGAAAAGACTCTATGCATCTCCTGCTAAAAGTGAAATGAGAGTTCCTCAAAGACCTACATAGATGCACAGAAGTGGCTCAGCCCCTATTCTCGGTGTCCATGTTAGTTACTACCCCTTTGGATTGTAAGCACCAGAAGCACAACTCAGGCTTATGCAGGAAAAAGGATTTATTTGTTGCATATAATTGCAAAGTGTAAAGATATGGCAGAATGCAGAGGTTGAACGGTGTCATCCAGGCAAGTCAGGTCACTTGCTCGCTGGCTCCCTCCCTGTCAGCTCTGCCCTCCTCATAGTGGGCTGTGAGCTCAGGTGGGTCCACTCCCTGCCCACACTGTGCCTCATGTCATGTCCCTGTCCCTGGTTTCAGATTCAAATCACTCTTATCAGAAGATAGGGAAGTGGATGCTGACAAGAAAACAGTAGAATGTCTAGTGTGTTTTAATATATCTAGAGATTTTTCATTTTCTTGCAGAATTTGAAGATGAACTATTAATTAGTACATAGGAAACTGAGGAAAATGTTTAAGTAAAGCAAATTTTCCCTTCTAGGTCATCTAGAACCTAAGGGGAAAAAGTATGATGAAGTGAATATAATCTTTGTATATGACGTGGCTATAAATGCTATAAATGCATAGTCATAACAATGTAAATGCCAATTCTAGATTTAACCAAAAATGGAGATTAGAATAATATTGTGAAGATGGGAGGATAAAGTGAGTGTGCATTTGCACATGGGGGGACATAAAACTAAACGCTCATCTTCCATAATTGGAACTTAAGAGATAATATCTAAAATTGACTTTTTTTTTTTTTTGAGACAGGTTCTCACTCTGTTGCCTAGACTGGAGTGCAGTGGCTCTATCTTGGCTCACTGCAACCTCTGCCTCCCGGGTTCAAGTGATTCTCCTGCCCCAGCCTCCCAAGTGTCTGGGACTACAGGTACACGCCACCATGCCCAGCTAATTTTTTGTATTTTTAGTAGAGACAGGGTTTCACCACATTGCCCAAGATGGTCTCAAACTTCTGGGCTCAAGCAGTCCGCCCACCTCAGCCTCCTAGAGTGCTGGGATTATAGGCAGTGAGCCACCATGTGCAACCCTAAAGCTGGTTTTCTAAAAGCAGTATAAGTTTATTGCCAGAAACATCAGATAATTACCAGAAGAAACCACTAAAAGAATTTAAAGTATTTGCCTCATGAAAATGGGAATGGAGAGAGATTGGGCATTTATACTTAAACCTTACATGAGTCCACAAAAACTTGTATGTGAATGTTCATAGCAGCATTATTCATAATAGCCAAAAATTGGAAAGAACCCAATATTTATCAGCAGATGATGGATAAACAAATTGTGGTATATCCATACAATGGAAAATTATTCAGCCATTAAAAAGAATACTGATACATACAACAACATGGATGAAGCTCCAAAGCATTATGCTAAGTGAAAGAAGCTAGATACAAAGGATTATGTATTATGTGATTCCATTTAAATGAAATATTCAGAATAGATCAATCCATAGATACAGAGCATAGATGGGTGGTTGCCAGGGACTAACGGGAGGAGGAATGGGGAGAAACTGCCTAATGGGTAAGGAGTTTTACTTTAGAGTAATGGAAATGGTTTGAAACTAGATAAGAGGTTGGTGATTATACGACATTGTGAGGATACTAAATGCCCTGAGTTATTTATGTTAAAATAGGTAAATTATTAAATAATTATTTTTTAAAAGGAATGAAGTACTGATTCATGCTATGACATGGATGCACCTTGAAAACATACTACTAAGTAAAAGAAGCCAGGCATAAGAGGTCACATATTATGATTTTATTTCTATGAAATATCCAGAATAGGTATTATAAATCCATAGAGACAGGAAGTCAACTTATGGTTGCTGGGAGGGGATGGAGAGTGACCACTGATGAGTATGGAGTTCCTCTTTGGGGTGATGAAAATGTTCTGGCATCAGTGGTAATAGTTGGACAAGCTTGTGGATAATACTAAAGAACACTAAAACATACCCTTTTAAGGGTGAATTTTATGATGCATGAATTATATTTCAAACAACAACAAAAAAGCTCCACCTAAGCAATTCACTCATGAATGGATATTCGTGATAAAGACTCTCCACTGAATTGCCCTACTGAATATACGTGAGTGGACTCTCGGCATCCCCCAGGTGGAGCAGCAGTGACACTGACAGGAACCAGGGTAGTGATTTTCTGGGTCTAGAATCTTCCTCATCTTTTTTATGCTATCTTCGTCCTCTCATCCAGCACTTTCATTATTAAAATTCTTACCTGTTCTGCACACAGCTGTGCAGCCTCTTCGTAAATCTGGTAAAGAGAAGATAATTCACGTGGTGAGTGAGAAGCTCCCAGGGAGGCATTTTCTTCTGAACAAATGAGCTGTTTCACTTTTCTGTGAGCAGGGTATTACTTGCTCTCAGTCGGTATGTAACCTTCTCGCTTTTCTCTTCCTCCTAATCCCTTATTAAAAAGTCAGGGGTGACATGGATAGTGGAAACATCTTTAGTTTGTTGGCGTGTTGTCCACTCGAGGCAGACAGCCTGCCCTAGAAGAAGCCATTTCCCGTTCTACGTCAGTGCTTCTGCAGACTGCTATATTCAGTTTTGCCTCACTGTTAATAGTTGAATATATCACTTCTATTTTTACATCTGTTTTTCCCGTTGTACTAGAGTGAGATGGTGGCAGTAGCTGCAGATGTCCTCAGCTCAGTTTGGAAGACGTGACAGATGTGTCTTTTCTCCCATTTCTACATGTTATCTGAATCTCAGCCTCCAAATGACAGAGCGTGCATGTCCGCCCTCTGTTCTTCCACCCTGAATGTTAAGGGGTTTGCCTGCTTGCGTTTAGGATTGCACTAAGCACTCCATAGTCAGAGACACACACCTAAGCATAGTATATTTTAGGATTGTGCTACTGTGATATATTATAACATTAGTTATCCCTGACTTACAAGCACTGAAATTCTTGACGTATAAATTGCTTTTCTTTATGTAAATGGTTAAGTCCTGGAATCTACAATAACACTCTCAAGAATTTAGTCCATAGGCTAAATCTGTCTTCTCAAGAATCACTCACTCTGTAATAATGCATGGGTATGTAAGTAAACTGAGAACAAACACAAGCCAGGGGCACAGGAAATATATCTTTCCTGTTCTTTATTCTCCTTTCTATCCTTCACATTTGAGTCCTGTAGTGTTCAGAGTTGCTGATGAGGCACTAGGCAGTGGCAGCCAGCTGCATGGGTGTCCCATAACTACTCAGGGCTTGAGAGTTAACTCTAAATTAGGATTGCACCAGTAAGAAGTAGAGATAATTTCTGTTAAAGTTTGCACAGAAGCACTTTCTTAGGATGAGGTGATTGCTGGGGCTGGCT